GTGTCAATTTCATGGTCCCAATCTCCCCTGAGGGCCTGGCTAAAAAGGGTCAAATGAACTGAAATATGGTAGAATAAATACTCTTCATGGATGGAAGGGTCTGAAGGTGCTTAACGAAAATAGGAATTGACATTTTTTAGCATAATTTATTTATTTTCCATTGGAAATTGATCAAACATGGTTCGAATTGTTATTATAGAATGACACTTTGATACACATGTTAACCTTGGCTGACTCCCAAGGGCTGATTTGCGTGCCAAAAAAGGACAAATTGACTGAAATTTCAAAAAACTTCTCAATACCCAAGCATGGTGTATTCAAATATTCTTCATAGATAGGGGGTCTTAAAGAAAAACTCTTCTGTCCACTGCAAATATAATTTCTCATTTTCACTTGATTCTACTACATATATATTTTAATCTTTCCATTTGTGAGTTCACTCAGTTGACCATTTAGGCCCTTGGCCTTATGGTCTAAAAAACCCATGTATTTGTTCCTACATCAAGCCTTAGATTCCACAAGTTCCAAGGTCATGGCTTAAATGTTAAGGTCACTGCAGGTGAATGAATACTACATGTACTCATACAGTCTTCACATTCTTCAAAATCTTTTCCAAGTGATAATTCTTGATAAATTCAGTTGAAATTGACTCAATACCTCTAAAGCTATACTGAAAAGAAGTACCTTAGCAACCAGCCAACCTTGAAATTGTTGATGCTTTATCCAAATCATGTTGTGAACTATGCAGACAATAAAATAGTAAACAAGCGAAATTTCTTTAAAATGTAAAAAAAATTCTTTTTTTTTTTTTATTTGGTCTGAAACATCCTTGGGGAAAAGTCAAGATTATAGTAAGTGAAAATTAATATCACCTTGTCTGCAACATCGTAGAAAATTCTATGTAACGAGTTTTAATATTACACCATGCAGTTTTGCCTTTTTTCTGAGGTATTGTACATCAACCATACCAATAAACTATCAATTTATGTTACGTTTATGGGTCAAGTGTTTCTACAAATGTTATCACGAAAACAAGTCTTTTGTGAAATGCTGTCTGATGGTGTCTTAATGTGTGTGTGTATATGCTGTGTGTGTGAAATGATGTGTTATTCACTGACAAAGGTGCCGACGTTCTTCAATAAAAGTGTAACCCCTTTGATTTATGTTGGCATACGTGACATGTTTTTGTTGTTTATTTTTCTTTTTCTGATACACACAAAAAGATACTTCTTAATGAAATTTGTATGTTACATATCACAGTCTTTTTATACACATAATAATCCTGCTAGCACTTCTTTTTTAACATGAGTGATTCAATTATTTCATAAGATGAAAAGACCCTGTCTGAGTGACAGCTGTTTGGAAATTTATGAGTTGGAGGCAGGTACTGACATCCTATATATTATTTCACCTTTCCTAGTCAGATTATCAAATATAAAGTTGTCAATTTCTTACTAGTATTTGACCTCTGAACTGGCAAGTGTTACAAACAAAAACAAGATAATCCAGGCCACGTTTTCTTTACTATATATAGAGACTTCATTGCTTGGTAAATGGAGTATAAAAAGTATTTGTGGAGGTAAAATTTGAAATCCCACAGGCAGAAGCTGGGCTCAGGCTTGCATTGATCCTTGAAAATTTTCAATTGCATTCCTGAAAATTTGAAATGGAAGATGATAATATAGATTTTGGCGCACCGTTTTCAGATAGTGGGCTGTTCAAATCACTCTAGGTAGCAGTACACAGTTTCTTGGTGTGGCCATGGGTGATTTTTTTATTCGTTAGATTACCCCATTATAAAGGTTTTAGTTAAAATTGAAAAAATAAATTCTCGCTAAAATCAGTCTTGTCATGTTGAAGTGGACAATGTGGGGTTTCATTTTTTTTCAGAATAATATTTTAGCTTTGTGTTGGAGATTACTATTTACCCAGTCTCAAATCTGTGTCTACGTACCAGAAACTAGCTTCACAGGAAGTGAAATTTTCATAGTGTTTACACATGGTCATGTTATGAAGGATTTCCACGTTGGAATTTGCTGAAATGTAAGTAATTTGTTACCAGGACAATGTTGTTGATTTTAAGATAGGTGTTCAGAATTAGATTTCTTCTAGAAAGTTGTAGTGTTAGGTTGGAATTAGCAGTATTTTTGTATTTTTAGCATTTTTCAGTAGGTAACCATGACAATCAAATGTCAGAAATCAGAGGAAATGTTTTATTTAAACAAATTTCATCTCTCTGCTATTAATGTAATTGTTATGTAGTTTATAAATATATATAAATGTAATGATGTATTTTTCATAACCGATCTGCTTTACCTGTATATCTCAAACATGACAAATAATTTCAGGAAAAATGCAAATTAAATGTTTCCTGCTACCCTATGTTCCTGGTCCATTGGTTGTCTGACCATCATCTGAGTCCTTCAATGATTTTTTGTATCGTTATTTCTTGAGAAGTGCTGGATGGATCTTTCTCGAATTTCATATGCAGGTTTCTCGAAGAATCTCATTGTTCTCTTTTGGTTTTTGAATTGATCGAGGTATTAAATGGCTGACAGGTGTCTACCTCAGATTTTGAAAAATCAAAGATTGTTATTTTTTGAAAAGTTCAGGATGGTTCTTTCTCAAATTTAACAAATAGATTACCCTTGCTTTCTTGCTCTGTCAGTTTGATTTCGGGACTGATCAGAAAAAACAAAATGGCTGACAGGCAACCATCTTGGATATGATAAAGGTTATTATTGAAATTTCTTATAAGGAATATTAAGATTTTATATAATTAAGAACATAAACAATGGAAAAAAGATAAACAAAAAGAACAAATAAAGATGAAGCAATGGTGACTTGTTAGATCCCTTTGGGTTCTTTTGTTTTGCTATGTTCACATATCTTTTATTTCCTATTTTAAACACATGTTTTTAATTTGTACACAGTCACTTGCATATGTCAGTCTTACTTTTGCTTTAATAATTTTATGTACATTACACTCTGGCAAGTGACCTTCAAGTGGTGTTGTTGATGGGCAGACTCTATTTTCTTGTTTATTCAAAACATGGATAACATGTCCATGTGTCTCGTACCAGAAACCTATGAATATTTCATATCTAGCACTCAAAGTTGAAGGAAATCAGACATTTGTCCTTTGGAGCAACATGCAAATAGATGACAAGTTGTCTAAATATTTTGTTGTGGTTGGGCACTTTGCAGATGCCATTTTCAAAACATTGTTCATTGTTGCTGTGTTGTAAGGTTTTCGGCAATCAAGGTGTTTTCTTTTGATCACGAAGCATGATTTCAATGCAAAGAACTTCCCATCTTGGATCTGCCTCTAAGAAATATATGTATACATAACACAATTTCAGTGACGAAATGCGAACCAGGAAATAACATGGGACCATCTTGACTATGACCTATATTCAATGTTTCCCCTAAGAGCTGGCAGCCGGCCGATTGACCGTCTAAAACGCCAAATTGGCGGGTTAAAATTCATAAAGTTGAAGGAAAAAAGAACATATTTACTGAAACAAAATTTCCCAGGTTAAAGTCGTTATCCGTCGAACGGTTACCGCAATTTACACAATCGTGTTCTTATAACATGTGAATGTCAAAGTTACATGTGTGGTGATCAATTTTACCATGTAGTCAAACTTACGCTTGAATAGCGACTTTGTGTGTGCAGTGTTTGAAAGCGTTTTATCGATTCCGTTTAGTGTTTAGTCAAATTACAAGAACGCTTGAATGAAACGATCTTTTTGTGCAGTGTTTGAAAGCGTCTGATCGATCCCAATTTACGAATAAACAAACACCAGGAGGAAGCGCATCTTACCTCCACAAGGCCAAACAACAATTTCTGTTTTTTTTATCCGTGAAAAGCGATCTTAAATGAAATATCAATTTAGTCAAGAATGCTTGCTTGATAATTCACTGATACAAAGAGTTACACTCATAAGCACTATCGCCATGCACACCTTACCATTGTTTTTTCCATGGTTTTATTGGAGATGTTTATTTAGTCTGTTATTGTAAAGTTTTTAGTTAATTCTTCCATTACCACAAAGAACAAAAATTTAATGCTTTTGAGCCTTCAGTTTGTCATCTGAAGCCTGTGAATTTATTCTAAAAAATATCGATATCAACCTTCCAGAGGCCCCCAAATTGCCTTCAGTAAACCTGAAAATCGTTTTCGGGCCTTGGTGGCCCCCCTTGACACCCTGCCAGTTAGATTTGTCAATCTGCCTCCTGCTTTAAATCTTAGGGAAAACACTGTATATCGAAAGTGACTCTGCATGGTACAACAGAGAAGAAATGGAAAGTTATAACTTTGATTGTATACAAAGTGAATGAGAAGCATTTTGTTCAATATCCTTTCCAATTCACAAAGGAGAAAGATCAGGCCATCTTGAAGGTTCTAAAGAGGAAGAGGAAACACATCTAAACAGTGTACATTCTGGTCACAGAAGAGCAGAACCTTTGGAAGATTACCCTAGATGGAGGAAACTGATGCTCTTACTACTTCACTAGATACCAAAATTCAAACTTGAAACAAACAAAAGAAGCAGATTGTAATTTGTTATTAATGGAATCACATAGCTTCACTAGAATCATATGTACAATTTGTTTGAAAAATTTTAAATGTTCTCATGCAAATAAAAAAAAAATATTAAAATTCTTTCATTGCATAGCTTCTTTGTTTTGCCATACTTTCTCATAAAGAAATTTGATTCTTTTATAAGCCAATGTAAATTTTTGTAGCTGAACTACCTCACCAATCTTTGTCAAAGGACTTTTTCAACTGGTTTCTGCCTTGTGTTTTTTTTATAGGAAATTGGTGAATTGGGAAGGAAGTTTCCAGGGGTAAATCAAATTGCAAATTTCAGTGATGGAATCATTTTAATCGGCAATGGGGCCCATTATTGGCTCCATAATGCCATCATAAAAAAGCCTTGTGCCTTGTGAATGTGTATTTCTATCAATCAAATATCCCCTTTTGGTATATACAGGGATCTACTGACAGTATACAACCAGTATGCCTGTTGTGAAAACAGACTGCCTACCTGCCGTCTTCGTGAAACCTTCAATTCACTCAACCTCTTTCCATCCAACTCTCAGGGTATGTATAGTTCTATTTTATTCCCTTTGAATCAGTTGAAAACACAAAATAACATTAATAAAAGTTAATGTTTAAAAACTTCATGAAAATTGTAAAGCTCTACAACAGATGAGGTTCAATTTCCAGATAGAATGGGACATTAAGGGTGCAGAGTGACTTGCCCAACAGTCTGGGTTTCCTCTACGTACTGTTACTCCACCAACATTCAGATCCTTTCCACACTTCCATTTAGGTCTACAAGAGTGATTACTATTTTACCAGTTTATGAAACTGATGGTTATTGTAAAAAGAATAAAGATTTTTTAATTAGAATTATGACAATTAAGAAACAATGCATACACTGTATGGTGTAGCACTTGAAATATATCTGTTCAGTTATGTTGTTTACAGCAACAGGTAGACTGCTTTTAGCTCACTTTGCCTGAAGAGCATATGAAGTGGTAAGGCATTTGTCATCCAACCTGTACCTTTCCTTTCATATACATCTTAACAACCAAAAGGTCTAGAACTAGGAATTTGATTGAAAAGTTCTTTGGTTAATATCCAACTGTTTCTTTTAAAAGAAAAGACCTTGAATCATCTTAAAGATCACAGGGGTCAAATTTGTTAAAACCCTTCAAACAACTTCTCATTACCGAGACTTTAAATGTCTATGATGTGAAAAGATGTATTTGTAAAGACATTGAGATCAGTCAGGTCCATTGGGCCTCTTGTGTATGCTTTACTGCATTAATTATCTAAGTGTCTTGTGACATTTAACCCTACTCTTTAATACGTACATAATTTTCTGGTCCACAGTTTACGAGATGGTGCAGTGTGCAATGGAGTATGGAAGTCCCTGTGAAGCAGATAACATCACCTTTGGAGAATTCTGTGTATTAGTGTCAGAACTCCAAGCATACTACCTCAGGAAGTACGTTACTAAGAAGTTTGAATATTGAATTTGAATTTTGTGTATTAGAGGTGAAGTTTGTGTATTAGTGGTGAAGTTTGTGTATTAGAGGTGAAGTTTGTGTATTAGAGGTGAAGTTTGTGTATTAGAAGTGAAGTTTGTGTATAAGAGGTGAAGTTTGTGTATTAGAGATGAAATTTGTGTATTAGAGGTGAAGTTTGTGTATTAGAGGTGAAGTGTGTATTAGAGGTGAAGTTTGTGTATTAGAGGTGAAGTTTGTGTATTAGAGGTGAAGTGTGTATTAGAGGTGAAGTTTGTGTATTAGAGGTGAAGTTTGTGTATTAGAGGTGAAGTTTGTGTATTAGAGGTGAAGTGTGTATTAGAGGTGAAGTGTGTATTAGAGGTGAAGTTTGTGTATTAGAGGTGAAGTGTGTATTAGAGGTGAAGTTTGTGTATTAGAGGTGAAGTTTGTGTATTAGAGGTGAAGTTTGTGTATTAGAGGTGAAGTTTGTGTATTAGAGGTGAAGTTTGTGTATTAGATTAGTAGAGGTGAAGTTTGTGTATTAGAGGTGAAGTTTGTGTATTAGAGGTGAAGTTTGTGTATTAGAGGTGAAGTTTCAGTGTAATGGATGAAGTTTGTGTATTAGAGGTGAAGTTTGTGTATTAGTGGTGAAGTTTGTGTATTAGAGGTGAAGTTTGTGTATTAGAGGTGAAGTTTGTGTATTAGAGGTGAAGTATTAGAGGTGTATTAGAGGTGAAGTTTGTGTATTAGAGGTGAAGTTTGTGTATTAGAGGTGAAGTTTGTGTATTAGAGGTGAATGTATTAGAGGTGAAGTTTGTGTATTAGAGGTGAAGTTTGTGTATTAGAGGTGAAGTTTGTGTATTAGAGGTGAAGTTTGTGTGTGAAGTTTGTGTATTAGAGGTGAAAGTTTGTGAAGTATTAGAGGTGAAGTTTGTGGAGGTGAAGTGTGTATTTGTGTATTAGAGGTGTGTATTAGAGGTGAAGTTTGTGTATTAGAGGTGAAGTGTGTATTAGAGGTGAAGTTTGTGTATTAGAGGTGAAGTGTGTATTAGAGGTGAAGTTTGTGTATTAGAGGTGAAGTGTGTATTAGAGGTGAAGTTTGTGTATTAGAGGTGAAGTTTGTGTATTAGAGGTGAAGTTTGTGTATTAGAGGTGAAGTTTGTGTATTAGAGGTGAAGTGTGTATTAGAGGTGAAGTTTGTGTATTAGAGGTGAAGTTTGTGTATTAGAGGTGAAGTTTGTATATTAGAGGTGAAGTTTGAGTATTAGAGGTGAAGTTTGAGTATTAGAGGTGAAGTTTGTGTATTAGAGGTGAAGTGGGTATTAGAGGTGAAGTTTGTGTATTAGAGATGACGTTTGTGTATTAGAGGTGAAGTTTGTGTATTAGAGGTGAAGTTTGTGTATTAGAGGTGAAGTTTGTGTATTAGAGGTGAAGTTTGTGTATTAGAGGTGAAGTTTGTGTATTAGAGGTGAAGTGTGTATTAGAGGTGAAGTTTGTGTATTAGAGGTGAAGTTTGTATTAGAGGTGAAGTTTGTGTATTAGAGGTGAAGTTTGTGTATTAGTGGTGAAGTTTGTGTATTAGAGGTGAAGTTTGTGTATTAGAGGTGAAGTTTGTGTATTAGAGGTGAAGTTTGTGTATTAGAGGTGAAGTTTGTGTATTAGAGGTGAAGTTTGTATATTAGAGGTGAAGTTTCTATATTAGAGGTGAAGTTTGTGTATTAGAGGTGAAGTTTGAGTGTAATGGATGAAGTTTGTGTATTAGAGGTGAAGTTTGTATATTAGAGGTGAAGTTTGTGTATTAGAGGTGAAGTTTGTGAAGTGAAGTTTGTTTATTAGAGATGAAGTTTGTGTATTAGAGGTGAAGTTTGTGTATTAGAGGTGAAGTTTGTGTATTAGAGGTGAAGTTTGTGTATTAGAGGAGAAGTTATTATCTGAAATGAAAAGTTTGTATATCATGTGAAATAGAGGTGAAGTTTGTGTATTAGAGGTGAAGTTTGTGTATTAGAGGTGAAGTTTGTGTATTAGAGGTGAAGTTTGTGTATTAGAGGTGAAGTTTGTGTATTAGAGGTGAAGTTTGTATATTAGAGGTGAAGTTTGTGTATTAGAGGTGAAGTTTGTGTATTAGAGGTGAAGTTTGTGTATTAGAGGTGAAGTTTGTGTATTAGAGGTGAAGTTTGTGTATTAGTGGTGAAGTTTGTGTATTAGAGGTGAAGTGTGTATTAGAGGTGAAGTTTGTGTATTAGAGGTGAAGTTTGAGTATTAGAGGTGAAGTTTGTGTATTAGAGGTGAAGTTGCAGTGTAATGGATGAAGTTTGTGTATTAGAGGTGAAGTTTGTATATTAGAGGTGAAGTTTGAGTGTAATGGATGAAGTTTGCGTATAAGAGGTGAAGTTTGTGTATTAGAGGTGAAGTGTGTATTAGAGGTGAAGTTTGTGTATTAGAGGTGAAGTTTGTGTATTAGAGGTGAAGTTTGAGTATTATTGGTAAAGTTTGAATATTAGAGGTAAAGTTTGAGTATTAGAGGTGAAGTTTGAGTATTAGAGGTGAAGTTTGTATATTAGAGGTGAAGTGTGTATTAGAGGTGAAGTTTGTGTATTAGAGGTGAAGTTTGAAAGAAAAAGATAAAGTTTGAGTTTTGTAGTGAACATTGAGCACTTACAAAGTAATTCAATATTGCTTGATTGGCATTTGTGTGACTTTTGCATTATATTTTCAAACAATTTGTGTAGTATTTCTGTGGTACATACTTATACAGCTCTTCACTGAAAAAATATTTGTTCAGCTTTTGATTGTGCTTTTTTGACAAAAAAGAATGTTCTCAGATAGCAATCTGCATAATTTTTCATATGTTTCAATATTTTGATTGTATTTAACACTTAGTTATTCCGTTATGACATACCTTTGATGGCTAAGGTTTTGATAGTTTGTTTGTAGATTAACCTGTTCTAACTGCTCAACTGATGCTAGTGAATGTTATATCATAGATACCTCTACATGTACAGTTTAGAAACTCTGTCCTACCAGCTGTGTGTTGTATTCATTGAAACCTCCTACTTTATAAAATAGCCAATGTTTCTGTTTTGAGATCTGAGACTGATGGAATGGTTGAGTTATTTCATTGCTGTTACTTGAGACAACCAGTGACAGAGTAGTCTGTATTGTATAGATCTAACAGTTAGTAAATTAATTTCAGTTATCTAACATTCGTTGTAATTCATGTTATACAAACATCTGTCACATGAAATAACACTGAACTAGTTGTTTGTCATTATAAGACACTGTGAGTTGTGAAATCCAACACACATTACAATTGAAACAGCACCAGTCATCTTAAGTAATGTGTATTTCGCAATCACAGTTATTGTGATCCCTTTAGATTTATCTTCCACGATGATAAATTATACTTTCTAGGTCACTTGAAACAAAGTTTTATGGTGACCTATAAATTGTGAATGCATTTTGCCTGGCATCATGTGCTTTTGATTAATTTTATTAATGACATTGTATGCAGTGGTTTTTCAAGCTGACTTACTTTTTTTACAAGAAGATTTATGTGATTTCAAGAACAACAGAATTTATAGAACTCCGATGAGCACTCAAGCCCTTAGGCTTCTTGTTATAAAAATGGATATTGTCTTATAAAGAACTCCAGTTTTGTGTGGCTTGCAATGGAGTCATAAAGTAAGATGTATAGGTGTTACTTTCCCGATGAGGGCTGCAGCAGCCATAGCCCCAACATTCATGTTAAACAGCAAAATGTTTAATTGAATTACAAGTACTATCTTCACCAAACCTGCTTAATGGTTATATTTTAGCAGGAGCATCTTCATGCATGTTTTCAATGAAGATTTTAACATAAAGTTGACAATTAATTAGACTTTGTAATGTTTAAGTTTGTGTTTAACTCAGCGTTGAAGATTTCTCTCCAAGCTGTTGAAACCAAACCTTGAATGAAATTATAGTTACGCATGATCAACCCAACACACATTTTAGAATCAGAGTTCCACCTTCAATTTGCTGTGAATTGGACTTAATTATTTAATTGTACCATGTATAAGACTTTTGTTAACTACTAACATATTTGTTTAATCCTGATGGTATTCAAATGTCTTCCTTAGCGCATACATAGCATTCCTGTAGCACTTCTGAAGCATTTGTATCTCACTTCCACTTAATTTAGCAGTTTCATAGCATTAGCATTAAGATGGAACAGCAATGTATGTGTCTGAACTCTGGTGACTTTTTCATGTTCTTCCTAAGTGACTGTGATATTGTATCATTAAATATGTTAAATAGTGTGAGATTTACATACTCTAACTGTATTGTCACCATCAGACTTCAAATAATGTTTTGTATTATACCAGGAAGTCAGTATCAAGGATGGTCTCTGATCAGTGTATTAGTGTTAATATTGTCAAACTTCTATAAATGTGTTTTATATTACACAAGACCAGGAAGTGAGTATCTAGGATGGTCTCTGATCAGTGTATTAGTGTAGATATTGTCAATCTTCTATAAATGTGTTTTATATTACACAAGACCAGGAAGTGAGTATCCGACCTCTGACCTCTGTATCAGCATTTATATATACCCTCTCTAATGATGGACATGTAATATCTTAGATGACATGTGACTTTTCAGAAGCCTATAAAAAAGATTACTGTTGGTTTTGATAAGTTACACACAATCCTTCCTAATGCATCAGTTACCATGTGAAATTGAATTGTTATGCATGACAAATCTATGTCAACTCTTGCTGTCACTTATTTCCTTGCTGATTTGAATTTCATGGTGGAAAACTTTGTACCCAATAACTGATGTACTTTAAAATTTCTTAGCGATAACTCTTTTCTTACAATTTTCTTAAACATAATTCTTCCATGCATGACCATTTTGAGCAGGGTCACTCCAAAATCTAAATTTAAAGAGCTCCTCTGTCACATAGGCCATGAAGATCAGTTTTACATTTGATAATTAGATAAATATAGATATCTGATTTCAGATTCTATGTAGCCATCAAAGCAGCTCTGCGTCAAGTTTTGTGACATTAAGTATCTTGTTTTCATTTCATATGAGATTATCTGAAATTTGGCTTAAAGTTTTAAGTTATTCCATGCCAAAACAAAATTTGAAAGGGTTTGCAAACATAAAAAATTCTAAGTCTTCTATCATAAAATCTCATATGAAATGAAAACTCATTTATGATCTTATGAATGCATAACCTCAATTGCTTTTCGTCTTTTTTAGAAGACTTAAGTGAAGTTGTTAGAGACATGTGACTAAATGTGAAGTATCTGCTATTGTATACTGTAAATGAGACTAGATTTCTCTGATCTCCATTTTAGACCAGTCACACCTCAACCACGATCCATGTACAGAGAGAGATCAACATCTAGTCCCTGTAAACGATGGCAGCATAGAGGTATTATTTCTTATTCTGAATTAATAATATATAGATTGATGTGTAAAATTGAGTGATGGAAATGTGAGATGGAATCAAAGTATTTGTAAAATTGACACATTTTCTCATGTTATTGGAATAAGTTATCATTTTTGGTAAGATTGACGTGGTAAGTGGATACTTAAAAAGACTTTGTCAGAGATTTCTGTGGAAATATTTTGTATCAGATTGTTTTTGTTTTTTGCAATGTATACAGTGAATGATTATGAATAAGATTACTTGGAGTGATTGAAGTATTACTAGATAACTTCTTTAACTCATCTACCACATTTAGTTATTCTAGGAGTCTATCACCATACTGCCAGTTTCAACCAAAATTGGTTTAATTCAGTCCTGTTTGGTCAGCATGGTAAAACACACTTCTTGTATTGTATAACAGGTATTGTCTCTATTACATTTACTTGCTACAGTGTTTCTGGGCGGATCTTGTAACCCTACAAGCTGGCGACAGGATACAGCTATCCCATTCTTCAAACAACATGGCATCACATTCTACAACCCTGTAAGTTAAACACTTCCCATTTGAAGATCCGAGATTCAGTGTCAGTTAGTGTTACTCACGAAGCTGAGAAACACTGGTCTCTGCTATCATGGCTGTGTCCTTGAGCAAGACACTTTACCCCAATTGCTCTGGATGGCATGTGATAGGTCTCACTGCCTCAGAATCCCCTGGATGTTACGGGATGGTAAGCCCGGCAAACAAGTATAACTACCCATTTGTTGATATTTGTTTTAGGAGAATTTTGTATGTATTAGATAGTTAACCTGTTGAGCTTGTGTGATAATGCAATTTGGCTATCCTACTTAATGACGGAGTGAAATTGTAATATTCTGGAATCAGGTTTAAAGTACAAACCACTGAAGGAGTTATCGCCCCTGTTCATAATGTTTCTTTTTTCATCAGAATCTCTTCATACACAACACCATGAATTGCAAACTTTCATTATGTTTTTATAGGGCGCTTGAGTGTTAAAATGTAAAATTGTGGGTTTCTACTGTCTTTATCCAGAGTTATGGCCCTTTTTACAATTTCTATTTTAATCAAGATCTCTTCATAATTATCATTATGAATTGCAAACTTTCATATTATCTTATAGGGTGCTTGAGTGTTAAAATCTTAAGTTGTTGGTTTTTACTCACTTTATCCAGAGTTATGGCCCTTTTTACGATTTCTGTACTTTAAATTTTATCCAGCGTCTGTTGATTATGGATTGCTTGCAATAAATTGCCTTGTTTTCATCATTACAGCAAGTACAGAGCTGGAGAGAAGAATTAGTGGAGCTAGAAGCTCGAGCAAAACAGGTGAGATTTACTTTAAGATATTTCTCATTTAAAAAAAATTCCTGCATCTATAAGTCACTGAATGTAAAGCTTTGACAGAAGTGGTCATTAAAAATTGGGGTTATTGCCTAAAATTTAAATATTCTAAATCACATGTTTACATGAAGGTTTGGAGTTTAACAGGGTGGTCTCTAATGTCCACTATCATTCAACAAGTCATTGGGGTTGATGCACATCAGAGCCAAAAAGTCATCACTTTGCACAAATGGTGAAGTTTCGATCTTTGGGCAGGGTTAGTGTAAGAGATACAGGTAAACATTCAAAATGTCCTATGTTCACAAAAAATTGATGTTTTTTCTCACAAAATCAGTGGTAAACTTTCTGTTTTTGTATTTTGGTATTTGATTTATGTTAGGTAATTAGTTAACTAGGCAAGTATGTCATTAATTAATTTTAATTAACTGTAAATCCAATGGAACCAACTGTGATGGTACAAAGCCATGTATCGCTGAGTGGTCTCGAAGGGTGAACAAATCTTTAGACAGACCTCAGTGGGAAATAAGCATTGCTGGAAATACCGCCTTTCACTTATCTGCTGTCAGGGCACTTCATGGAGAGTTTCCAAATGAACAATTGTTATTAATAAATATTGAAGTACTTTAACTTCCTAGAAGTTTCTACACAATAACATGGACATAAGTCACACAGATCTCTATATATGATGATGCATACCACCACAGCATACTCTTAAGGATGTATGAAACACAGACACCCAAAATATTGATCTTTTATTTTTTATTTAGATGATAATATTTAAAAAGTTCAATGACAGAAAGTAATTAAAAAGCAAGAAATGTTTGGGAATTGTTTTCCTAATTAAAAGGAAGGGGTTGCTGGTTTTTTGGTTTTTGTTTATATTATTTATATTTTTTTTTTCATATTTTATTTAAATTTTGGGATGTCTTTTTTTTTTTTTTTTTTGTTATTTTCACCCAAATGTCTAGGGGTTTTTTTTAAATATTTTTCTTCAGGTCATAAGATTCAAGAATCATTATACTCAAAGTCAGCAATCATGTATATCATATGTTTTTTGAGATGATTTTGTTATGTCAAATTTTATTTAAATTCTTCCCAAAACTCATATTAAGGACATCTGTTGTTAACAAGCCATATCCAAGCACAAAAGTCAGTGAATGCTGTTAAAATTTGTCTAACATTGGAGTCCTACTTCCATTGAAACAAGTGTTTCATACATCCTTAAGCTTCCACAGTGCATGCATAAGTCAACACTCCTGCAATTTTTGTGATCATCATGACTTTGTAGATCAACACTACTGCACAATCTAGATACAGTGCACAGTACAACACCAGGAGGTAGTAACAACAACACAATTATGTGTCTCAGGTGAACACATATTCAGATCAGGTAATAATATTATGTAAACATCTATATGGAGCTAAGTTACCCTCAAATCTTGAACATAAGCCAGTCTTGAAAATAAGACATGGATTTCTTGAAGGAAAAAGTATCTTGAAAATTAGACTGTCTTCAAAACAAAGCCATTAGTAAAACTTCAAATTAAAATATATCTGTGTTTTTCCAAATCTGATCACAGAAATAATCAATTTTGTTTTGACATGGAATTATTGTTCCTTTACATTTGCTTTTACCAGTACATCTTTATCTGGAAAATATGACGGGCAGTTTTGTAAAGTAAAGAAATACACTGCAATTACTTAACAGCTCTAACCACCTTGAAGATAAGGCAGTCTTGAAAATACACCATGAAAACATTACTAAACAAGAATATATATAACTCGTGTTTTATTTTCAAGATTTCGGTTTTTACAAAAAGTAACCCTCTATAAGAATAGTTTCTTGTGCATGATAATTATCCAAAGATATGATAATAATACCTGACATATAGCAAGGGGATTATACGGTAATTAATATATATATGTCCATCCATCCGTCCATCCATCTATCCATCCATCCATCCGTCAGTGAACTAGATATCTCATGAATCCATGGACAGATTTAGTTCATATGTGTATGTAGCATCATCCAACTAAGATCTACACTTGAATAAATTTGGTGGTCATTGGTCAAGGTCAAAGGCCACCCTTGACCACTTTTGAAATAAAAAGTTTGTGAACAAGATATCTCATAAACTACAGGACAAATTTAATTCATAATATTTCAATTTCTAACCAAATCAGACTCAATGAAACTACTGAATGTGATCTGTTTCATTTACCAACGAATTTGACCAGATAACATTGCCAGTGCATATGAATACAAATATTTGGTAAGGGGAGAAAACTCCCCAACTTCTACTAGACTGGCAATATATCACAAGTATGAGATTTAAAAACATTAAAATAATCATTTAAAAACTATCAAAAACTATTAATAAAACAAATACAAACAGAATTGTGTATTCAACATTTAAAAAGTGTAACTTTACGTTTCAAAAGATGTGAAGCAACTGAAGCCTTATATTTCTTGCTCTCCACTTCGGTGTCTTTAAAAAAAAAATGGCCGACACCACTTTGTTTGCGAACTGGTGCACCACGTCTAGATGTTTTTCCTCCGTAGGGAAAAATGCATACTGTCTTTGTTGCAAAGTATTATTTAAATTTTCATTAAAGTTGTCGAAGAATATATTAAATTTTGTTCTTATTTAAGTTTCATTGAATATTAAGTAACCACACTGAAATATATTTCAACCTGTCACAATAATCTGTCTTCAAATGACGGACTATTTGCTTGTATGACATCAAAGGATATGATGACAAGAAACGAAAATGAAAGTAGAAGATAAATTGCGTCAGTTCCCATGCTATAGAACAAAGAAGTATGAATTGAAATATAAGGATGGAATCTTGCTTGTGTCGATTTCATGGGATAATGAATTGAGTTGGTCTTGAGACAAATCAACATGAGCTGCTTCGCAGTTCATTAAATTTGTCTCAAGACCAACTCAATTCATCATCCTATGAAATCGACATCAGCAAGATTCAATCTTTAATTCACAAAATACAATCATTGAGCCACTGCTCACTTTGGTTTTATCATGTTTGGTAAATATGATCATTTATAATCTTATTTCTCTATAAAACACATTGTAACACACATCATCAGTATTATTGTCAAATAGGTACACCAGTCAATCCAATGTTAACAAGACCTCATCATACACAAACTGTACATTACATTTTATTTACAAGAAAGATGCCCTGAAATAAAACATTTAAATTTAGGACTTGACATGCTTCAGACTTTCCTCTGGATAGTGTTTACATATCATCCTTAATGTTGTATATTTAACATGCATGGTAACTTTTTAAAAGTTACACAGGAGAAATTGGTGCATGATTTAAATTCGGGAATATAACAAAAACATACTTACAATGAAACCATTATATACACACTTACATCTTGCTTATATATGGGATTCTGATTTTTAAGGCAATTTCTTTTTATGTTTTTATGCATATCTTTGCTTGTATTTACAGTAGGTTATTAAAACTTGCTTTATACATTGATCATACTTAAAAGATGTGCAGTGTACAAAATTCAGGGCCCGCAACTCCTTAATTACAGAGTTATCTTTGTTTGAAATTCTTGTCCAGAGCATGACTTTATTTTTGTTTAAGCTAGGATAATGGAACCTGATGTTTAAATTAATCATAAAAAAAAGAAGTGCACAAATGTTTGGCCTTGCAAACCCTCAATTACAGTTATTTGCATTGTTAAAATTTTGTGTTCATAGTGTGACTTGGCTGGCATTTAAACAAGGATAATGAAACGTGATGTATACAGGAATCATACTAAGAGGAGATTATTGTCCTTTGTTAAACTTTTGTGTCATGAGCCTTAACTCTGCTTGCATCAAAACTAGGATATTGAGACTTAGTCTACACAGTGGTCATACTAAGAGGAGGTTTAGTGTACCAGATACAGAGCCTGTAACCCCTTAATTACATAGCTGCCGCCCTTTGTTAAATCTTTTGTCTAGAGCAAAACTTTGCTTTTATTTAAGCTTGGACAATAAAATTTGGTGTATACATCAGTAATGCAAAGGATATATCTTGTACTAAATTCAGTGCCTGAAACCTTTTTATTGCATGATTATTGCCGTATTTTTGTATCCAATAAAGTTCTTTTAGCAGAGCATGCATCAGTTCCACTGATGCTCTTGTATTTTAAACTATGTATAGATTTTAAGAACGACAATGATTCAGACAAGGTTGCATTTTGGATTTCATAATTACCCGTAGGTTGAGGCCACAGAGTGTTATAAAACTTACATATTACACTGATAATAAATTACTGATTAATAATAAGGTTTCTCATATTTGAACAATCAAACGTGACCAAAATTGAATGTTATTAGGTCAGTGGAATAGAAATCTCATGTATAATTAATGTTGAGATATTTTCACAGGTAGATACATTGGTATGATAATCTGTAGCATATTTCAGTTTTCGATTCTGTGTGTAATGCAGCTGAAAGGTTTTAACATGAACAGTACTTGTAATACTAATTATAGATAGATTTCTCTATTCCAATGACTTGTTAAATTATCACATATTTGTAATATGTAAAGTACTTATTTCATGGAAAGGCATATCTAAGTGTTGTAGTTAGCTGGTCTGTTTTATCTTTTATCAGTTTTTTTTAATTAGAAGGCTATTATTTTTTTACAGAGAGCAGACATTTTGTTTTTTGTGATTGATAACCAGACCAGGGCTATAACCTCTATGATTGAGACAGCCTACCTTGTAGGTGAGTTTTGACAGGATTACAGATTGTTTACCTTTTCAGTAAGTATAGACCTCATACAATATCAAGATGTTCTTACAGCCTACTTTGTGGTTTAGTTTCGACATCTTACCAGATGTGCTTGGATGTACTACCTTGTGGGTAAGTTTGTACATACTTCTTCATTGGTAAGTTTGGACATACTACTAAGTGGGTAAGTTTGGAATCCTACCTTGTGGGTAAGTTTGGAATCCTACCTTGTTGGTAAGTTTGGACATACTTCTTCATTGGTAAGTTTGGAATCCTACCTTGTGGGTAAGTATGGAAGCCTACCTTGTTGGTAAGTTTGGAATCTTACCTTGTTGGTAAGTTTGGAATCCTACCTTGTTGGTAAGTTTGGAATCCTACCTTGTGGGTAAGTTTGGAATCCTTGTGGGTAAGTTTGGAATCCTACCTTGTGGGTAAGTTTGGAATACTACCTTGTGGGTAAGTTTGGAATCCTACCTTGTGGGTAAGTTTGGAATCCTTCCTTGTAGGTAAATATGGAATCCTACCTTGTGGGTAAGTTTGGAATCCTTCCTTGTAGGTAAGTTTAGAATCCTACCTTTTGGGTAAGTTTGGAATCCTACCTTGTGGGTAAGTTTGGAATCCTTCCTTGTAGGTAAGTTTAGAATCCTACCTTGTGGATAAGTTTGGAATCCTACCTTGTGGGTAAGTTTAGAATCCTACCTTGTGGGTAAGTTTTGAATCCTGCCTTTTGGGTAAGTTTGGAATCCTACCTTTTGGGTAAGTTTGGACATCCTACCTTGTAGGTAAGTTTAGAATCCTACCTTGTAGGTAAGTTTGGACAGCAACACCTTAATGTTAAGTTTGGACAGTCACACCTTATCAAAACCAACCTTATTGTTAAGTTTGGACATCCTACCTTGTGGGTAAGTTTGGTATCCTACCTTATTGGTAAGTTTAGTCATTCTTTCTCATGGATAGGTTTGAACTGAGACACATCTGCCATAAGATAACCTGAACATTATTAGCTGTTTAAGAATAAATAATGAAAACTGAAGCATTTCAAACATTGGAGAAAATATTATAAAGTCAATTGTTTGATGTTTTCCAGCCACCCGGCGACAAGTAATTGCGATTATACATGAGTATGATAAGAACATGAAGATCTGTGGGGAAGAGGTTTCTAAGAGGTAAGAAATGAAGCTGTGAAGCTGTAATGGTGTCAGTTCTGACTACAACCCTGCCACCCCTTCCCCCTCCCCCCCCCCCCCCAACTCCCCCGCCCCCACATTTTCACAGTTCTTTTCCATATAGTTATGCCATACATCAGTTCTGCTTAATCATTATCTAAGAAATTCCGGTGAGAGGTTATCAACATTTTGATGATTTTCAAACATCAACAGCAAATTTCATGTTATTACCGTCACAAAGCCGATATATAGAACATACTTGTGTGACAGCAGTTTTGTTTGTCTTGTTTTGCAGTGAGGTGATGGACCTTTTGAGAGCCAGACTGATACTTGTGGACTTAGTGGAGAGAAACAGCATACCAGTGTTCACCAACATGGAAACTGCCTTGCGATGTACCAGGACAGTACTTGACAAGGTATGCTGTTGTACATTTACTTGAGCCTCAGGACTTGGTTGCTCCTACCCCAGTTAGTTTAACTGCTATCAAATATAGAAAAACAGCCATGCGTCTAGAACAGAGTAATTATGCACAATTTTCAAATATATTTCATTTGTACTTGCAGGGTTTGAAGGTTGAGAATCTGATTGTGGAGGATGGTGTACAACCTGTATTGTATGGCTACCTCAAAGTGGGAACTGCACTACTGTAAGTATAGTGAGGTGCCATATAGCCAAATTATTGTCTATTTTTACCGACATACTTTACAAGTAAGCATTCTTTTGTAGTCCTACTGTATATATGCTCTTTATGTTCTTGGCCTGATTACTTAGAATATGATGTTTTCAGCCCTCGATCCTCAGATGGTTTGCTGTTCGAATCACCCAGTGTCTGTGGTTCATCATGCATTCAATTATCGCTATTACTATCGTAATCAACAGTTATTGTCATTATTTCTAGAGAGAGAAGTACTGGATCCTTCTCAAAAGTGTTTTTGAAGTTCCCTATGTCCCTAGATGTGTCCTTATGATTTTGTTGACGTCAGAAGAGCAAAATGGCAGATAGGTGGCCATCATGGATTTTAGCAATACATTTTTCTCAAATGTTACATGAAGATTCCCTCTTGCTTCCAAATGGTGCCCTTTTTATTTTGAGACTGATCAGAAAAACATACCTGTCATCAAGTGGCAATTTTGGAATTTGGTAGTAGAAGTTTGAATTTGGTAGTGGAAGTTAATTTGGTAGTAGAAGTTTGAATTTGGTAGTGGAAGTTAATTTGGTAGTAGAAGTTTGAATTTGGTAGTAGAAGTTTGAATTTGGTAGTGGAAGTTAATTTGGTAGTGGAAGTTAATTTGGTAGTGGAAGTTAATTTGGTAGTAGAAGTTTGAATTTGGTAGTAGAAGTTTGAATTTGGTAGTAGAAGTTTGAATTTGGTAGCGGAAGTTAATTTGGTAGTGGAAGTTAATTTGGTAGTAGAAGTTTGAATTTGGTAGTAGAAGTTTGAATTTGGTAGTAGAAGTTTATTTTGTAGTAGAAGTTTGAATTTGGTAGTAGAAGTTAATTTGGTAGTAGAAGTTTGAATTTGGTAGTAGAAGTTAATTTGGTAGTAGAAGTTTGAATTTGGTAGTAAAAGTTTGAATTTGGTAGTGGAAGTTAATTTGGTAGTAGAAGTTTGAATTTGGTAGTAGAAGTTTGAATTTGGTAGCGGAAGTTAATTTGGTAGTGGAAGTTAATTTGGTAGTAGAAGTTTGAATTTGGTAGTAGAAGTTTGAATTTGGTAGTAAAAGTTTGAATTTGGTAGTAGAAGTTTGAATTTGGTAGTAGAAGTTAATTTGGTAGTAGAAGTTTGAATTTGGTAGCGGAAGTTAATTTGGTAGTGGAAGTTTATTTTGTAGTAGAAGTTTGAATTTGGTAGTAGAAGTTAATTTGGTAGTAGAAGTTTGAATTTGGTAGTAGAAGTTTATTTTGTAGTAGAAGTTTGAATTTGGTAGCGGAAGTTAATTTGGTAGTGGAAGTTAATTTGGTAGTAGAAGTTTGAATTTGGTAGTAGAAGTTTGAATTTGGTAGCGGAAGTTAATTTGGTAGTGGAAGTTAATTTGGTAGTAGAAGTTTGAATTTGGTAGTAGAAGTTTGAATTTGGTAGTAGAAGTTTATTTTGTAGTAGAAGTTTGAATTTGGTAGTAGAAGTTAATTTGGTAGTAGAAGTTTGAATTTGGTAGTAGAAGTTAATTTGGTAGTAGAAGTTTGAATTTGGTAGTAAAAGTTTGAATTTGGTAGTGGAAGTTAATTTGGTAGTAGAAGTTTGAATTTGGTAGTAAAAGTTTGAATTTGGTAGTAGAAGTTTGAATTTGGTAGTAGAAGTTAATTTGGTAGTAGAAGTTTGAATTTGGTAGTAAAAGTTTGAATTTGGTAGTAGAAGTTTGAATTTGGTAGCGGAAGTTAATTTGGTAGTAGAAATTTGAATTTGGTAGCGGAAGTTAATTTGGTAGTAGAAGTTTGAATTTGGTAGTAGAAGTTTGAATTTGGTAGTAGAAGTTTGAATTTGGTAGTGGAAGTTAATTAGTAGAAGTTAATTTTGTAGTAGAAGTTTGAATTTGGTAGTAGAAGTTTGAATTTGGTAGTAGAAGTTAATTTGGTAGTAGAAGTTTGAATTTGGTAGTGGAAGTTTGAATTTGGTAGTGGAAGTTAATTTGGTAGTAGAAGTTTGAATTTGGTAGTGGAAGTTAATTTGGTAGTAGAAGTTTGAATTTGGTAGTAGAAGTTTGAATTTGGTAGTGGAAGTTAATTTGGTAGTAGAAGTTTGAATTTGGTAGTAGAAGTTTGAATTTGGTAGTAGAAGTTTGAATTTGGTAGTGGAAGTTAATTTGGTAGTAGAAGTTTGAATTTGGTAGTAGAAGTTTATCATTGCTATATTTTAAGATTTACAGAATGGATATATTTTAAATTTCATGTGATATCTCCCCATAGTCCGTAGTGGTACCCTTTTAAATCCAAGTTGGTCTACATAAACAAAATGGCTGACAAGTGTCCATCTTTGAAATAACAATTAACTATTGTTTTTGCGATTTACTTATGTACTGGATGGATTGTTCTTGAATACTATAAGTACATTACCCATGTAGTTTATAGATCTCTATTTCTTTAAAAGTACTTTATGGAATAGTCATTCTTTTATTGCATATCTGGTAATGTTTCCCGATTTTTGGGGAAAGCATATAGTCACCACTTTGTCTGTCCATCTGTCCATTCATCCATCTTTCCATTCGACCTTTCATGTCCAGAGCATAAATTTGCCCACAGTTAAGCAAGGATTATGAAACTCTGGTAAATTGGTAAACTCAGGGCCCGGTACCCCTCAGTTATTGCCCTTTGTTAAAATTTTGTGTCTGGTGCATTACTTTGCTTATGTTGACAGCAGGTTGTGTGAACTTTGTATATGAATTGATCATCCTAAGATGACCTACAGTGTACAAAATTCAGTGCTCGCAACTCCTCAATTACAGAGTTATTGCCCTTTGTTAAAATTTAAAGTCCAGAAAATAACTTTAAATTGCTTGCATTTAAACTATGATTATGAAACTTGGTGGATACATTGGTCATATTAGGAGGATGTGCAGTGCTTGAAACCCCTTGATTACAGAATTATTGCCTTTTGTTGAAATTTTGTGCGCAACAAATGCCTTTTCAGGAGCATTCATCTGTTTCACTGATACTTTTGTTTTCCTTTTGGTATCTTTGTGTGAAAATAAGAATTCACAATACTATCTTGGATTTTAGCAAATCAAGTTAATTATCATTATTTTCTTAGAAAGTACTTGGAAGATCATTTTAATACTTGTCCATTCAATAAGTGGTTTAGAACAAATAAGATGATAGAAGATTAAAGAAGGGAAAATATTGAATTAATTTACATAAAGCCAACAAAGGCCATACAGTTGTGGGCACCAAGATCCATCTGAGATTTCTTGTTGCATGATAGCAGAATTTTTCTTCTGGAACTCCTTGATACTTTTTTTTTTAGTTTGTGTCATTTTTTTAATTGGACACTATATAGAATTTAACTTCGAAATATCTGTTTTGTTGTCTAGTCATATGAGGGAAGCCTTCAACTCCATGGACAGTACAGAATCTGGCTACATCACTGCTAAAGATGTGAGTACAGAGTGAATATGTTCTTTTTTGTTTTAATGATTAATTAAGATGTTTACAAGGTTAATGTGTCAGTTTCTCTCGTTAATTTAAATATCTTCTATGATATTGATTATTTCATTAATATCTTATTATATGATAGCAGGGATGGTTGTATGTTATGTATTTAAATGAAAATTCCTGGAGAATGTTGATAATGAATTGTAAATTGTAGAGGTAGTAATCACCTTTTATGTGTAAAAAGAAGTATTATTCTTTACAGTTTCTGTTAAGTGTTTTACTTCTACAAGTTTATGACTGCACACTGTTTGCTCATTGTTGTAATTCAGCTAGATTTTAATTTGCTAGCTTTATGATCTGTGATGTAGGTATGCTTGGCCTACAAGAGCTGTATGGGAGGTCAGATCCTTGATCTTGAGTGGCTTAGAAACCATAGAAACAAGAGTTCAGATGACAAGTACAGTTTCGAGGACTTCTGTTGTATCGTAGCAGAATACCAGAAAAGGGTAGGTTTTTAATTGTAAAGTGTACTCTTGATGAATTTGATATATAACAAATAAATTGTGAGAATAGATACTATAAAAAATAACAATGATGTAAAAAAAACATAATAAAAAAACAATCAGTTTCATGTTATCCTTAATACGTTGAAAATTTGAATGATCTATTCTTGTCATGTTAAGTTATGATAACATTGAATAAAAAAGTTTTTTGGTATAATAGGATTATTAAATGATTATCCATTTTATTTGAGGTTTTTAAAATGGACCCATTTCATTTGCCCTTCTTTCAAACCTCTTGTGACAAAGCTAAAATCTTAAAATACATGAAAAATTTTATAAACCTTATAGGAAATGAAATAATTTGAGATGTGTTAAATGAATGAAAAGGATTGACACTGAAATGGCCTTTGTTTAAGGTTTTAAGGAACTGCAGTACAGTATAGAGGGGTGGGTTTTATTATCAGGCATGGGCTTATTGCTGAGAAATAAGTATTTTCTTCTGTTTTTTACAGAACAAGTCATTACTGGAAAAGTTGTTACAATTGACCAGATGTTTTTTTCATAGTAAGTAGAATCTTGTCTGCTCAAACTGACTTTATCAATATTTCCAGGTTCCTTTACATTTCTCTTGTTCATCTATAGAACAGACACAGAAGGATCACTTAATCATTGGTCACGTTTTAACCTTTTGGTCACCTTTTAACCTTTTGGTCAGACTTATATCATTGTTGTTGATCGGTGAGTTGATATACATTCTGACATCCTCTTGGTTCTCAAACTAATGTTAAAACATTTAGATATCTTGAATAAGAATTATCAATAAGAGACATGTGAGTGATGTGTGTGTAGATGATGATTGAGAATTTAGAGGTGATTCTAAGACAGAACACTTATACAGAGGCTTTTGTTTGTGTGTTTATAGTGAAAGTATTTATTATAAAGTTTGTGGTATCATACATTTAGACTCAGATTAATGAACAATATGTCATTGTATTTTTAGAATTCACCAATCATTCCATAGCACCAAACTGTAATAATATACAGGAATGTCGTGACATATACCTCGGGGGAAGCTGTGGGGACTCTAACTGGAGGGAGAAGATAGCTGTCCCTCTACTAAGGTAGGTATCTACAGGGACAAAGTGGCTGTTCCTCTACTAAGGTAGGTAACTACAGGGACAAAGTGGCTGTTCCTCTACTAAGGTAGGTAACTACAGGGACAAAGTGGCTGTTCCTCTACTAAGGTAGGTAACTACAGGGACAAAGTGGCTGTCCCTCTACTAAGGTAGGTATCTACAGGGACAAAGTGGCTGTCCCTCTACTAAGGTAAGTATCTACAGGGACAAAGTGGCTGTTCCTCTACTAAGGTAGGTAACTACAGGGACAAAGTGGCTGTTCCTCTACTAAGGTAGGTAACTACAGGGACAAAGTGGCTGTCCCTCTACTAAGGTAGGTATCTACATGGACAAAGTGGCTGTCCCTCTACTAAGGTAGGTAACTACAGGGACAAAGTGGCTGTTCCTCTACTAAGGTAGGTAACTACAGGGACAAAGTGGCTGTTCCTCTACTAAGGTAGGTAACTACAGGGACAAAGTTGCTGTTCCTTTACTAAGGTAGGTAACTACAGGGACAAAGTGGCTGTTCCTCTACTAAGGTAGGTAACTACAGGGACAAAGTGGCTGTTCCTCTACTAAGGTAGGTAACTACAGGGACAAAGTGGCTGTTCCTCTACTAAGGTAGGTAACTACAGGGACAAAGTGGCTGTTCCTCTACTAAGGTAGGTAACTACAGGGACAAAGTGGCTGTTCCTCTACTAAGGTAGGTAACTACAGGGACAAAGTGGCTGTTCCTCTACTAAGGTAGGTAACTACAGGGACAAAGTGGCTGTTCCTCTACTAAGGTAGGTAACTACAGGGACAAAGTGGCTGTTCCTCTACTAAGGTAGGTAACTACAGGGACAAAGTGGCTGTTCCTCTACTAAGATAGGTAACTACAGGGACAAAGTGGCTGTTCCTCTACTAAGGTAGGTAACTACAGGGACAAAGTGGCTGTTCCTCTACTACAGGGACAAAGTGGCTGTTCCTCTACTAAGGTAGGTAACTACAGGGACAAAGTGGCTGTTCCTCTACTAAGGTAGGTAACTACAGGGACAAAGTGGCTGTTCCTCTACTAAGGTAGGTAACTACAGGGACAAAGTGGCTGTTCCTCTACTAAGGTAGGTAACTACAGGGACAAAGTGGCTGTTCCTCTACTAAGGTAGGTAACTACAGGGACAAAGTGGCTGTTCCTCTACTAAGGTAGGTAACTACAGGGACAAAGTGGCTGTTCCTCTACTAAGGTAGGTAACTACAGGGACAAAGTGGCTGTTCCTCTACTAAGGTAGGTAACTACAGGGACAAAGTGGCTGTTCCTCTACTAAGGTAGGTAACTACAGGGACAAAGTGACTGTTCCTATACTAAGGTAGGTAACTACAGGGACAAAGTGGCTGTTCCTCTACTAAGGTAGGTAACTACAGGGACAAAGTGGCTGTTCCTCTACTAAGGTAGGTAACTACAGGGACAAAGTGGCTGTTCCTCTACTAAGGTAGGTAACTACAGGGACAAAGTGGCTGTTCCTCTACTGAAGTAGTTAACTACAGGGACAAAGTGGCTGTTCCTCTACTAAGGTAGGTAACTACAGGGACAAAGTGGCTGTTCCTCTACTAAGGTAGGTAACTACAGGGACAAAGTGGCTGTTCCTCTACTAAGGTAGGTACTCTACTGAGGTAGGGAACTAGAGTGAGGGAGTGATTCTTACACCAGTGAGGTGGGTAAGTACAGGGGATATTGGCTGTTTCAGCACTGAGATAGGGAACTAGAGGGAGGGAGTGAATCTTACACCAGTGAGGTGGGTAAGTAGAGGGGATATTGGCTGTTTCAGCACTGAGGTAGAGAACAAGGGGGAGGGAGTGACTTTTACACCAGTGAGGTGGGTAAGTAGAGGGGATATTGGCTGTTTCAGCACTGAGGTAGAGAACAAGGGGGAGGGAGTGACTTTTACACCAGTGAGGTGGGTAAGTAGAGGGGATATTGGCTGTTTCAGCACTGAGGTAGAGAACAAGGGGGAGGGAGTGACTTTTACACCAGTGAGGTGGGTAAGTAGAGGGGATATTGGCTGTTTCAGCACTGAGGTAGAGAACAAGGGGGAGGGAGTGACTTTTACACCAGTGAGGTGGGTAAGTAGAGGGGATATTGGCTGTTTCAGCACTGAGGTAGAGAACAAGGGGGAGGGAGTGACTTTTACACCAGTGAGGTGGGTAAGTAGAGGGGATATTGGCTGTTTCAGCACTGAGGTAGAGAACAAGGGGGAGGGAGTGACTTTTACACCAGTGAGGTGGGTAAGTAGAGGGGATATTGGCTGTTTCAGCACTGAGGTAGAGAACAAGGGGGAGGGAGTGACTTTTACACCAGTGAGGTGGGTAAGTAGAGGGGATATTGTCTGTTTCAGCACTGAGGTAGAGAACTAGGGGGAGGGAGTGTCTCTCACACCAGTGAGGTTGGTAAGTAGAGGCAATATAGGCTGTTCCACTTCTGAGGTAGGGAACAAGGGGGAGGGAGTGAATTTTACACCAGTGAGGTGGGTAAGTAGAGGGGATATTGGCTGTTTCAGCACTGAGGTAGAGAACTAGGGGGAGGGAGTGTCTCTCACACCAGTGAGGTGGGTAAGTAGAGGCAATATAGGCTGTTCCACTACTGAGGTAGGGAACAAGGGGGAGGGAGTGACTTTTACACCAGTGAGGTGGGTAAATAGAGGCGATATAGTCTGTTTCAGCACTGAGGTAGGGAACTAGGGGGAGGGAGTGTCTCTCACACCAGTGAGCTTGGTAAGTAGAGGGGATATTGGCTGTTTCAGCACTGAGGTTAAGGTTAGTAGATGAGTGGATTGTTGGACCTTCTACAGAAGTGCAGACCTGTATTTGAGTTCCAGTTTAAGCCTAGCAATTCAGATTGATGTTGATAGGGAGGCTGATTCTGTACATGTCTTTCTGAAGTCACATTGATTGTTGATGTGAGGCTGATTCTGTACATGTCTTTCTGAAGTCACATTGATTGTTGATAGGGAGGCTGATTCTGTACATGTCTTTCTGAAGTCACATTGATTGTTGATGTGAGGCTGATTCTGTACATGTCTTTCTGAAGTCACATTGATTGTTGATGTGAGGCTGATTCTGTACATGTCTTTCTGAAGTCACATTGATTGTTGATAGGGAGGCTGATTCTGTACATGTCTTTCTGAAGTCACATTGATTGTTGATAGGGAGGCTGATTCTGTACATGTCTTTCTGAAGTCACATTGATTGTTGATGTGAGGCTGATTCTGTACATGTCTTTCTGAAGTCACATTGATTGTTGATAGGGAGGCTGATTCTGTACATGTCTTTCTGAAGTCACATTGATTGTTGATGTGAGGCTGATTCTGTACATGTCTTTCTGAAGTCACATTGATCGTTGATGTGAGGCTGATTCTGTACATGTCTTTCTGAAGTCACATTGATTGTTGATGTGAGGCTGATTCTGTACATGTCTTTCTGAAGTCACATTGATTGTTGATGTGAGGCTGATTCTGTACATGTCTTTCTGAAGTCACATTGATTGTTGATGTGAGGCTGATTCTGTACATGTCTTTCTGAAGTCACATTGATTGTTGATAGGGAGGCTGATTCTGTACATGTCTTTCTGAAGTCACATTGATTGTTGATAGGGAGGCTGATTCTGTACATGTCTTTCTGAAGTCACATTGATTGTTGATGTGAGGCTGATTCTGTACATGTCTTTCTGAAGTCACATTGATTGTTGATAGGGAGGCTGATTCTGTACATGTCTTTCTGAAGTCACATTGATTGTTGATGTGAGGCTGATTCTGTACATGTCTTTCTGAAGTCACATTGATTGTTGATAGGGAGGCTGATTCTGTACATGTCTTTCTGAAGTCACATTGATTGTTGATGTGAGGCTGATTCTGTACATGTCTTTCTGAAGTCACATTGATTGTTGATGTGAGGCTGATTCTGTACATGTCTTTCTGAAGTCACATTGATTGTTGATAGGGAGGCTGATTCTGTACATGTCTTTCTGAAGTCACATTGATTGTTGATAGGGAGGCTGATTCTGTACATGTCTTTCTGAAGTCACATTGATTGTTGATAGGAAGCATGGACTGTCCTACGCTAATCCATTTATCAATGACTGGGAGCAGCGCCTCATCCCCATCCAGGTGGCCATACGTGAAAAGTGTCGTCTGCTTCTCTACATCATCTCTGACAGGACACGGTCAATATCATCCATGATTGAGGTAAGATGTTTGATACACACAGAAACCATAAGCTTAATGAACAATAAGATACTTCAATGTACCTACCCAGTAATTGTCCTTTATCATTTCTTTAAGGTCATAATTCATTTGAATAGATGTTCAGGTTTGAGTTCAATCTATGCAGCTCTCCAGGGGGCTGAGGTCCAGATTACATCAGAAAGTGGACAGTCATACAGGCCCTGTGGGCTTCTTTTTCTGAACTGTCAGGAGTTTTGTACAGTTATTGGCCGGATTGCACATAGTGCAAATCCGTGTTATAGTATGGTGAATGTCGTGTGGGCAGGCGAGGAAAAGGGGTACCAGTTTTGTAGAATCACCTCCTCCAAGAGTTTTGATGTAGAAGCTTGAAACTTTGTAGGATGTTTATATATATGTTGAAGATGTGCACCTCCTATTATGGATTCATTCTGGACATATGTCTGGATTTTCAGGGCTTTGGAACTTAGTCATTTTCAGAAACTTTTCTTGTTAACACAGTTTCTCAGAGACTGCTACAAGAATCTTTCTAAAATTCAACCTATAAATCACCTTAGGGCCCTAGATGTCCATTATCTACTTTTTTAACATCTCCGAATCAAAAATGGCTGCAACTTCTTTCTTCAAATGCCATTCTTCTGCACCAATTCATAAAATACAACCAAACTTTCTCTCATATAACAAATATTCTACATACTCAAACAAATGAAACACCCTTAACTGTCTTATAAATACCATATAACATTGCACTTGTCCCGCAACCCGGCCTAATGTGGCTTTGCCCCATTTTCTAATTGATTCTTTTATAATCTGGTAACCTAGGTTTGGAGATTATTTATAGTATTTGTCAAAGATGAAGAACATTTTACCCAAACGTTTTAACAAGTTATAACAAGTATGTATCTATTGTTATCAGTATTTATATAACCATGTTTCTATACTAGGCTGGCTACTATATTGGAAAAGGCTGTAAGGTTATACTCTGTGTCAAGGAACTGTCCAACGATGTCACAGTAGGCAAGGAACCCGTAAGTCATTAAATCATTCATCATATTTTATGCAGAGAACATTTTTCTCTATATCATTGTCTTAACCAGAATTAGTGTAGACCTATTATCTTTGATAAAAAATTTTCATTATAGTGAGCTTATTTGGGGGTTAACTAGCACTGACGTAGTGTACGAGACGGTACGTAATAAACTTTTTCTGCTGCACTATAATCCTATGTACACTAAGGTCGAAAATAGTGTGACGAGATGGTAAACAGATTTTAGACTAAGAAATACACCAGATGATAACAATGTACTATAGTCAATTTGGCTTTTACACCACATAGGTCAGTGCTCGTCACTCCACACAGGTCATTTGTCTGATGAAGGTGACCGTGTAGTCATGGAAACATTACACTCTAATCTTCTACTGCTTGTGTTATAAGAGCCTCTATTCTATTGACAAATCCAACCAGAAGAATTTGTTCCAGAAAAGAAGTCTCTAAGGTTTTGTACACCAGTGACATACACAAAAATATGACATGGGCAAATTCACTGGGTGATAGGCTGATTATGTGATAAATCTGTTTATGCCTTGTATAATTCATTGCTATCTTAATGCTGCTATAAACAGTTGGAAATGTTCTAAATATATTATTGTGTTAATTTCATAGTTGACTGAGTGTGCCATGAAAGACTACCAGCGTGGTAGGGCCTACCTGATAGACCTGGCTAGTCGTGAAGGCATTCAACTGTTTGATGACATCACAGAAGCAGTTTTATGTGCCATCAACTACCTCAGAGAGAGTCAGACATGAAAGTTACTTAGGAACAGATTGAAGTGTTCATTTAAAGGTGACAGTCACATCTGAGTTTGTTACTCAAGTAACTGTGTTTGTCATGTAGAAGAACAAGGTGTTTGTAGAACAGATCAATTTGTCACATTGAGTATCCCATCAATCTGTTACATTGAGTATCAGATCAATCTGTCACATTGAGTATTCGATCAATTTATCACATTGAGTATGCAATCAATCTGGTACAATGACTATCAGATCAATCTGTCACATTGAGTATGTGATCAATCAGTTACATTGAGTAACAGATAAGTTAATTATCGCACTGGGGAACAGATCAATTCATCACATTGAGTATTCAATCAATTTATCACATTGAGTATGCGATCAATTTGTCACATTGAGTATTCGATCAATTTGTCACTTTGAGTATTCGATCAATTTGTCACATTGAGTATTCGATCAATTTGTCACATTGAGTATCAGATCAATCTGTCACATTGGGTATCAGATGTGTTAATCATTACACTGTTTGACTGACAGATTCCTTGGATAAGGCCAAACAAAGTTTGAGGAAAGAAATTACCTTGACCCATATTCAAGATAACAGGGATTGAATTTATCTGATTAATCATTATGCTTAGAAGCGTGATATTTGGCTGGTAAGTATCTCAAATGAAACCTGATATAGTTTGTGAAAAGAAATTAACTTGACCCATATTCAAGGTCATAGGGTCAAATTTGTAAACACCTTAAAACGGTTTCTGAGGATTAACCAGAAGGCAAAAAAGCGTGATATTTAGCTGATAGGTTCCAAAGATGAAGCCCAGTATAGCTTGCAAATAAAATGACCATGAGCCATATCCATGGTCACAGGGATTAAATTTGTCAAAACCTGTAAAAATTTTCTTCTGGTAAACCAAAAGTCTGTGAAGCATGATATGTGGTAGAAAGGTGTTTCAAGGTCAAAGCTCAACAGATTTCATAAGAGAAAAAAAGAAATTATATTTACCTATAATCCAGGTCATAACTCTCACTGTTTAGAGCTGAGTGTTAAAAGCTTAAGTTTGGATAAGATTGATTGGATGTGCCCACTGTGAGTACCAATGATGCACATTTTATGTATTTGTGATAAACATTGATTTTATTTTCGATGAACATTGAATACCGTGTAGGCCCATTGGGCCTCTTGGTATTATATTTATTTCTAAACCTTTAGTGTTTGATATCTCTGGCACATTTACATGAAGGTGTCCGTCCAAGGTGTAGAAATATTGAAGGCTGTGGAGACAATGTAGACCATTTTGGTGTTCGGTCAATTTTTTTTAAAGCAGTTGACCAAAATACCACCAAACTTATTGTAGACAAAAGACATCAGGAGAAAACAAATGTGAATTATTGAAAGTTTTTAGTGTTGTGTTTTTTGATGGTTTCAGTTGTGTTTGTGTGTATAAATATCAAGAATTGCTCATATGTCAAAAGGTGAAGATGATAAAAGATGGCAGTCAGCTTTCGATCATAAGTCAGTTGACGCCAATTGTTTTCAGGTAAATAGACGCAGTTACTCAAACAATACAGAAATGTTTAGATTTTAAGAATGTTCATCTTAGAATGATCTTGTAATTAAATATTTCAGGAATGTTAGCAATTTTATTTTTTAGAAGATAGTTTATACTCAAACCCTGCCTGATAAATAGCAGTAGTATGGCCTGGGTCATTGTTGTGTTTTTAGGATCATTAAAAATCCGTGATATCTACAGATTTGCAACATACATTACATGGCTTAATTGATTTCAAATATATTTTATAGGTAATGAATGTTTGAGCACCAGTTTTTCCAGCTTTGTCCTATGCCATGACTTGTATGTTGGTCCCACAAAAACTTTACCTACCTCACACCTAACCTCCCAAAACACTTACAGCATGCCATATCATACCTCAATTAGCCCAATGATTAACTCATGTTTAAACAGACAGGAAAAGTCCTTGAATTTTAAGGCTTGCCTTAAAAACTTTTGGAATTCAATTAATGTCCTGATTAGTAAGTCTTTGAATTAGACATTACTGCTTTGAAAATACCTTTAATGTGACAATCAAAAGCAAGATTTAACAATTATTCTTTAAATATTCATTAAACAAATCTTTCAAATGTCACATGTAAATTGTGAGTATTTGTTTCCATTTTTGTGGATATGTTTAAGTGTGGAAGGTCATGCCAGAAAGTCATTAATCAACACCTGTCAACAGAACAGGAACCAATCTCTGAGTACAATGTCAGAAAGACAAATAAAAGTCTGCGGATTTATAATTACTTTCTCTGAGTACAATGTCAGTAAGACAAATAAAAGTCTGCGGATTTATAATTACTTTCTCTGAGTACAATGTCAGTAAGACAAAGAAAAGTCTGCGGATTTATAATTACTTTCTCTGAGTACAATGTCAGAAAGACAAATAAAAGTCTGCGGATTTATAATTACTTTCTCTGAGTACGGATTTATAATTATGTCAATGAAAGACAAATAAAAGTCTGTTGATTTATAATTACTTTCTCTGAGTACAATGTCAGAAAGACAAATAAAAGTCTGTTGATTTATAATTACTTTCTCTGAGTACAATGTCAGAAAGACAAATAAAAGTCTGCGGATTTATAATTACTTTCTCTGAGTACAATGTCAGAAAGACAAATAAAAGTCTGCGGATTTATAATTACTTTCTCTGAGTACAATGTCAGACAAATAAAAGACAATTTATAAAAGTCAATGTTGATTTATAATTACTTTCTCTGAGTACAATGTCAGAAAGACAAATAAAAGTCTGCGGATTTATAATTACTTTCTCTGAGTACAATGTCAGTTCGACAAATAAAAGTCTGCGGATTTATAATTACTTTCTCTGAGTACAATGTCAGAAAGACAAATAAAAGTCTGTTGATTTATAATTACTTTCTCTGAGTACAATGTCAGAAAGACAAATAAAAGTCTGTTGATTTATAATTACTTTCTCTGAGTACAATGTCAGTAAGACAAAGAAAAGTCTGCGGATTTATAATTACTTTCTCCGAGTACAATGTCAGAAAGACAAAGAAATGTCTTGGGATTTATTGTTACAATGACTGTAATAAATGTGTAATAACCCTTTAAGCAAATCAAATACTTGTATACTCCTAAGAAAGAAAAATAAGTTACACTTTGTGGCAGGATTAAATATCAAGGTAAAACACTTAGTAGCCCTTAGTAAGTGCACTGAACAAGATTGGAAAAAAGAAATTGTGATGAAATTATTTGTAGCATGATTGTACAATCATGGTTTCCCTTAATGACACATTTTTCAAACTTTTTCTAGTTCTTTTAGTAGAATTAAGCTGAAACTTGCCTGAAATGGTCCTTACCAAGTGTTGTTATTTTTGCATTCTTTTTTCATATATTCCAAACTAATCATTTAATAAGTGTTCGTTATACTACTGCAATAACTGTTGTTATATCATGTATGGCTCTTTTTTTTTCAAATGACCATTAAGGCCCATGGACCTCTTCTTTGTTTATTGGCACAAATATTGTTTTATCTTCATCTGTCCCGTCCTGTACCATCCAAAAGTGATGTCATCATTTTTTGCAACTTTATTTCTTTAGTGCTCTCAATCACAATATATACAGCTCAAAGTATATTTAGCTCACCTGGCTCAAAAGGTCAGGTGAGCTTACGGCATACTGCAGGGTCAGTCTGTCCCTCCATGTGTCCATTTTGTATAAATGGTGGACCTGGGTGCTCTGAGGCAGGAGGGGAGGGGTGGGGCCCAGTAGTCGAAATAAAGCAAATTCTTTAAAATCCTACTCCTCCTGTAGGAATGATTAGATTTTGTCAATATTTAGTCTGAAGCATTGTTAGGTGAAAGGGACCCAATTCTGTATAAATGGTAGGTCTCAGCTCCTTGTGGTCTGAGGGGCCTGGCCTAACAGGGGTAATAGAGCAAATTCTTCAAAATCCTACTCCTCCTGTAGAAATGATTTGATTTTCCCTAAATTGGTCTGAAGATTTGTCAGACCACCATCAGTGAATTCTGTGGTTTGGTCATCCATTCCTTGATTGTCAGATGTCTTAATTGCTATGGCCCTCATATTTATTTAAATATATTTTCATTTTATGAATGCAGCATATGTTTTGACTTTGACCAGAGACAATATGTCATTTGCTTGGATTAAAATCAATTGAGTCTCATTTCCTAGTATGATATCATACAAAATCTTAATTTCCTAATACATTGCTTGGTAAACTGAATAGATTTATATATGAAATAAGTTCATTCAAACAAAGATGAATTTCAGCCATTTTCTATTAAAGAAATAATAATAAGTCTGTTGATTCTCTGTTAAGTGTAAAGATATTGATGTTTAGTGTACAGACATATCATATTTAGAGAACAGAAATATATTAACTGGTATGTATCTGAAATATCAAACCTACTGCACTGTCACAATATATACTGTACTGAGGTATATTTACACACTGAAAGGTTACATCTATTGCAATTATGTTACATTATTCAGCTGAAATCTCATGTCTACTGCACTGTAATATCTTACATCATATTTTCTGTCCTTAGTATAGTTAATTCACTACACAGAGATATGTTTATTTTTCTAAAATGTCACTTTTTGCACCTTATTGTATTTACTGCACTGAAATGTCCTATTGTGACTGCACTGAGATATGTTTACTGCACTTATTGTTTTTACTGTATACCAAGGATACTGCAACATAGGTTGACTACTGAAATGGCATGTTTCAACAGTTATTATATAGTTTGTTGTGTTGACATTAACTACCTGATGCACAGTACTGATATATCATATTTACAGCCCTGAAATATCATATTTACAGCCCTGATATATCGTATTTACAGCACTGCAATATGTCAACTGTTCCAAGGGAAATAACTCTGAAGTTGAGGTGTCGCGTGCCCTGAATTAGTTACACTGCTCATTGCCTTAATATGAGCAATGTATACACTAGTTTTATGAACC